CTAAAATCCTGTGACAGCAGTCAGGTTTCTTGCCAATATGTCCAGGAGAGAACAGTTGAACCTTGCTGCTTTGCCTCGTTTATCTTGACTGCCAGGCTGGGCTCAAGGCACCAGCAGCCATAGGACTCGGTAAGCAAGCGCTTGCTGCTCTGCAAGTACAGCAAAGCCTCTCAGCTCCGAAGCACCGACACCCAGACAGCCTGCAAGGCCTCCCGAGGCCTGGCCCACCACCCACCCTTCTCATCCAGAAAAGAGAGAACCATGACAGCCCCCACCTTGTTCGATGTCAAACGCATCCACAGTCCTCATGAACTTGGGCTGCCGGTAGAGCCGGCCCTGCCGCAGGCCCCCAAGACTGAAGAGTTTGTCTTCTGTGGGCACAAAGCTGGAGAAGGCCCTTTTGTTGGGGATGTTAGGAAACTTGGTCCATGATCTGGTCTCTGTGTCAAAGACCTCAAAGGCATTGATAGCGTACTTGGATTGCCTCCCGCCTGGGACAAAGGTGATGGAAAGAATGGGGTCGGTTTGGCTCAGACCTCAGATAAGTCAATGGCAATAAAAACACCAAAGCAGCCATCTGGGGGAAGCTGCCAAGCTGCCAGCTGATATAATGCCCTTGGGTCTCTAGTTATCTTCTGGGATCAGGCCTTGCAGAGCTAGGTAGCTTGTCACCCTCACCCTCCTTCTCCTTTAATTTCCATTTCATGCAATTAAAACACCTTTTTTTTGTTTTGTTTTGTTTTTTTTAAAATGCAGTATACACTCTCTACTTCCCTCCATCCCAGTGGCAGTGGGTAGCTAGTGCAGGACGGTGATTATTATGCACCAGTTTAATCAAGACAAATTCACAGTAGGGTAGGTATCAGCACTCAGAGAGCCTTTGCAATTCAGATAAGTTCAGCATCAGGGCAATCCAGTAGCCCAGGCCTCGCTGCAGAGTTCACGAGGGAGCAGAAGGGCCAGATCAGCTGCTGTTACAACCGCCGAAGATGCTGTATTGTTCTTGTACCAATCAGATGCAAACGAATACAGCTATTCTCAGCTCAGATGATCAGTGTGTCTTTGAAGAGTGAAAGTCTGCTTGCTACTGGGCCCACAAACTGTTCGCTAGCAGCAAACAAATGCAAAATAGATCAAAGAGTCTTTTGTGGTAGCCCTCTCGAGACAGCCAATGGTGTCTGGTGGTTTGAGCAATCAGGACTCCTGGGTTCCGATCACAGCTTTGCTCCTGATATACCATTCGGCCATGAGCTAACAGCAACAGTTCTGTGCCTCAGTTTCCCTATATACGAGGCTAATGAAAACTGCTCCCTGCAAAAGGCTTGTCCAGCACTCCCCAACAACTGCAGTCTTTCCTCTGTAAAAAGCAGACCCTTGGTGTAGGTGTGCAGTACTTCAGTGACATAAGGTAGATAGAAGTATTTTTATTCCTCAGTTGAGGCCAAGGGCTTCTATCACAGTCTCAGGAGTGCAAACTGAACAGGCAGCCTGACAAAGCCTAACCCTATCCTCAGGCTGCCAGCAGCTGCGGACAGCTCTGAGATAAGGGAGGCTGTTCCTCTGGCATGCACAGCCACACCATCTCTGAGCTTCTGGGCATTTAAGGGTGCACAGCTCTCGCAGATGCTTGGTATGGAGTCGTGAATGGAAACCCAAACCCCAAGCCAGCCCCACTCAAAACCTACAGCTGCAAGTGCAAGCTCGGTATTTCAGAGAGCATGAGAAAGCAGGATCTTTTGCCCCAAATCCCCTCTAGGAAGGCTTCTCAGCACTCATAGGGGTCTGAGCTCAAAAGGAGCCACTGCCTAAAAGCGGAGGAGGTGGTGGCAGGCAGGACTGCTTCTTACCCAGCACGTAGATCTTGGCGCCTCGCAGGAAGGATGTGGCAGCGTACCTGGGTGTGGGCATGGCTGCCAGCGACACCCAGATGTCCTTGAGCATGTCGTAATGTTGCAGGTAATTGTGCGGCCGCAAGTCAGATCCCATCCCACCAGCTGCATAGACTCTGTAGTCTGGACAGGGCCAAGAAGCAAAAAGAACAGACTTAGGGGAGAGCATCAGAAACACACCCACGTGCAAAAAAGCACACGCCACCATGCACGGTGGGCCAGAACCATCGACTTCCATCTGAGTCACTGTCCTGGAGATTCTCAGTCCCTGCCAGGACCTACCCACCAGGCTCCATGTCCCCTCCTTCAGCACAGGGAGCACTGCCAGAGCACGGTTTGATAATATAACCCAGCTACACCTTCCACAGGGAAAGGGACATCAAGTCCAAACAGAACATCGGCACCTTCGGGTTTCATGCAACTGCTTTGATGCGCAGGGAAGCCGGGAGCCTCTCTCCAGCCCTGGTGATGCCCCTTGCTGGGGCACAGGAAAATTCACTCCCAGGCCTTTGAACAGGACAAGGAGGAGGTTAATGTGCCAGTCACCTTCCCCTCCCTTTGGTAATAGAAGTAATTTCTCCCTTTCTTCATCCGCTCAGCACACGCATATAGAGAGATATTTACAGCACTGCAGCAAATAAAGCACCTTTGTGTTCTCTGCTGGAGAAGCAACTTCCTGGGGGGTGGTCGTGTGGCGTTGAGCCTGCCTGCCTTTGCCACCCCGTCTGGGCCACCAGGATTCATCCCAGGCCACCAAAACAAGGCCTCTGCAAATAAGGACTCCCATGTACCTCAGGGGTGCTCCCGAGGATCCCCCAGGTCCACAGGACCTTTGAGCCCAGCTCTCGATGTCTAACAGGGAAAAGGTACCAGAAGTACCTGCATGCTGGGAGTGGAGCGGAAAGCGCCGGCCTCCCAGCCCGCTTGCAGCTCTGTTGACTCTTCTGTGCCTGGCCTTGCTCTCCCTGCCCTGGAGCTGCCCGCCCCTCTCCTCAGCCCACATGTCCAGCCCTCACCACCACTGTAGGCTGGGGCTCCACTGAGGAGACCCAACACTCTTCCACACGCTCCCACCACGCAGCACGACCTGGCTCCCACCACGGCACCACAGCAGGCAGGGGCGATGCTGCGGTGCAGCCCCATCAAGGCACAGCAAGGGGGGCAGCAGCAGTGGCCCTCGTGACCGTCCTCGCAGAGAGCTGAGCTCACGGGACAGCCAGGGCACGCCAGTCGCAGGAGGATGACTGAGATCTTCCCATGGAGAAGCTGAGCTGGCCCAGGACGGCAGCTTGGTGACCCACACTGTGGGGGGTCAGAGCCAAGACGCGTGAAAGGCACCGAAGCTATTTGTTCCCCACCAGTTCCATATCAGCTGTGTCCATCTCTAGCTAACAACAAACCTGACTCTCCAAAATAAGTCCTTTTAATCACAGCACGCAGCGCTATCTCCTTCAGCAAGCACTCCCCTCCAGAGACAAAATTCAGGAGACCAGCGACAGCATCCTTGCCCACAGCCCTACAACAAGGCAGCTGAAAGAGCAGAGACTACGTCTGCATACCTCAAGGATTAGGGTAGCTATTTCTGTTCCTGCCCTCTCGCACCAAACTGACCCCTACCATATCTGTCAGTATGCAAGATTATAGTCAGAGAGAAAATCATCTCCAAGACCGTAAACATTATTTTTAAGCATTCCTTGACAGTAGCTTTTAAACCCACTTAAGCAAACAAACCAAGCAGCTTTCAAAGAAGCTGCCCGGAGATTAGAATCATAATCCCAGGCACCGCAGGAAGCTGGCTGACCTCAGGCATGCTGCGCAGAACACAGCTCCCAGCCTGAGGCGTTTCAAAGCGGGGTAGAGTATGCTAAAGGAAATCAATGCTCCACATCTCTGCCTAGAAATTCAGATTGGGAGATAAGGCAGAGCCTTGCAGGCATTTAACAATACCCATTTAAGGTAGTGGTTTATGTGGGAGAGCTATGCAGGAGTCTCCCACAAGGCCAGGCTCTTCTCTTTCTTGTACAATGATTTGAGCCCACAACTATGAGGCTGGATCTCTCTTAGCTGGTCTTGGGTTTGGACCACAGACCTCCAGAGTCCCCTCCCAATCAAAACTGTTCTGTGGCTCTAAGACCTTCACCTCTCTTTGGCACCACAGCTCAGCCAGGGGTACACTCAGCTGAGCTACACCAGCCAGCATCACCATTTCTATTTTTCCAGCAGTTCCAGTGTACAAGGACCACCCCACTGGTGGGTGCCAGGCAGACAAAGATTGGCCTGACACTTCTATCACAAATTCCTTTGGGAGAAGTTTCCTCCCCCACCTCTTCCTGCCCCTGTTCACAGACCTTTGAGGAAAGTTGTTTCAGTGGTCTCCACCTGCTGACTCTAACCTACCTCCTCACTCGCTCATCTGGAGTGAAGTAGCCTGGTTTCCAGAGGTGCCGGGCACTTATCCCACTCACTGACAGCAAGAGGATCTCTGAGCAGTCAGCAGGAGCCAGGTAGAGCCATCTGGAAATCAGTCTGGACAAAACTATCATAAGGAGTTAGTTCTCTTCTCCAGTAAATAAAACTCTTGGTCATTCTAGAGTGAGATCAAGAATTGCCCCAAATCTCTAATCAGCCCTTCATTTCCTTCCCAACTTGGGACTCTGGCAGAGCTAGACCTCAATTGCTACAAGACCTTGGAGAAATCTGACTCCAGGCCCTGGAGCTTGGGCCTGTGAAATACACCTGGGTCCACGCACAGCCATGGTCCACGCGATTCAAAGGCTGAAGATTCAGAGCAAGCCACTGCGTTTATCTACTTTCAGTACCCTCAGAGAAGAATCTCTCCTCTTTAGCAGGCGGATTATGACAAAAATGTAGGGCTCAACCTCTACAAGCACCGAAAAAGTTTTGGAGAAGACAGTGACCCTGCCTTAGATTAAGACGGCACTGCTCAGAAAGCAGTTCTGCTTCTGCATCAGGCAGAACCTAACCCTCCCAGACCCAATCTCCCCCAACAGCAACCCTCATGAGCCTACAACGATGTAGTAAGAACTGAATTCTCCTTGCCTTTCGTTGTCACTGAGATGCCCATGGCTGCTTCTCTCAGTGAGTTTCTCTTCTTCCACTTGCCCTCGTCTATGTTGTACATCTCCACTATCTTCAGTGGCATCTGATTCACTCCGACCCCTCCTATCACCATGCCCCCCCCCCCGAGGGGGCCCCCCGCCACTCCAGCCCGGGCCGTGGGCATGGGAGGGAGCGAGTTCCACTGGTTGGCCTCAGGGGAGTAGACCTCGAAGCAGTCCATGGGGATGCCATTGTCATCGCAGCCCCCAATGGCGAACACCTGGCCGCCAGCTTCCACCAGCGTCGAGTAGACCCTGCGGCTTGGGAGGGGGGCGAGGGTTTTCCACTGGAAATCTTTGGTATTGGCTAACTCCATGGCGGCTCGTGGAGCAAGGCAGCATCGGTCCCCCATCCACAGGGAGCGGGCTGGCTAAGCTGCAAAACAGAGCAGAGAAGTACCGTTCACCGGGGGAAGGCAGAGAAACACGTGAAGTGCAAGCCCCATCCTCGCCCCGCCAGAGCTCCCGGCAGCCAGGAACGCGGCAGGCCTTCCGGAATCAACGCGTCCAGAGCCAGGCAGCCTCCAGCCGCCGCCAGTCCCGCCTGCCACCCCCAACGCACAGCAGCAGGGACTGGTACCTCTCATCGCGTCTCCATTAATCCTGCAGTTCCAGATCTGCCTTAGAAGCTCACGCTGAGACCAGTCCTAAAAATAAAACAAAAGTGGGGGGGAAGGGCAAGGGAGGTTGGAGTCAATTTGTTATCCTGTTTCCTGAGCATCCCGCCCCCAAGCGACATTCAAACTGAGGAGGCTGCAAGCTGTCTGCTCACTTCTCTGGCTCTCTTTTCCTGTCTGCTTAGGAACTTTCCCTTGCTTCCTCCTCCTCTGATCCGACTGTTCCTCCTTGTTTACATCTTCCTGCATGCCCTGGGGGGGGGACCTGATCCAATAAACCCAGCTGGGAAAGGCAAAATCAACCCCGCACCCCTCAACCCCGCAGCCACGACTCCCTGGCTGTGCCACACGCTGCTTCACAGCAGATCTGTAAGGGATCCAGAGAGCAGCACAAGCTCCCGCTGCAAACCCAGGATCTTTTTCTCTTCTCTCTCAGAAGGGCTGTCAAGCATGCAGAGGAGATTAATTAGCGCAGGAAGACAGAGAGAGGGTAAATGGAAAGGAACAAAGGCAGCAGCAGCTTGCTCGCCCAGCGCAGTGGAATAAGGTGCGCTGCGCGAAGAGTACCTCCACCTTCACTGTGTAACTGGTCTGGTTTAACAGCAGCCCTTAAAGCAAGGTAAGGCTCATCTCTTCCCTTGCGGACCGCAGCAGCCACCCGCGCACACATCTGGAGACAGGACTGAAGGGTGGAGTGAGCTTTTGCAAAAACAGAGAGGGGACACTCCCGGCCGAGCGCTTACCTGGGCAGGACACTGTCCCCTTCCCTTCACCTGACATTTTAACGCTTGTTATTTACTGTGCTTTCCTGAGCTGGTCTCACAACTGCAGGTACCACAACTGCCACTGCAAAAAGCAAGGCTGGGAGGGGAAGGGACTGTCCCAAGGTCATGCAGGGATCTGGGAATGATTAGGAGAAGAAGAGATGCCTTAGCTCTGAGCCCGTCCTGCCCAGCCGAGCAGCCTTTCCCTGACACATTGCAGCTCAGTCTCCCTCCCTACGCTGCTGGCTGGACATCGCAGCCCCACGTGCCCGCAGGAACCCACTGCCCCGGCCACAACGCTTTCTCCCAGGCCTATTTCAGGGGGATGGCACGGACTAGCCTTCCCCAGCCAAGCAGGCAGGGACCACTCGCTTCTCCAGCCTTGACCCCATCCCTTCAGATCTCCCCATCACTGAACCCCCTGGCAGCAAGAGCAGAAGTCTGTAGCCTAGCAACAGCCACCGACAGCCGCCTTCAGTCACCCCTCCTTTCTGAGGATCAGGGTGGGCACCTTGCGCTTTTGGGGAAGGGCATTACGCAGCAACGAGGTAATTCTCACGGGAAGGAAGAAGGGGGGCCCAGGGCTCACCAGGCTGGGTCCACCACGTCCTCTTGCTGCATGCAGTGCTGATGCAGGGGGGCTGTTGCCACTGCACTCCTGACCCATCCTGTGTGGAGCCCACCGGGGTTGCCACACATTTCTCCTATAAATTCCTGCCTGTGGTATTCATCAGGCAAGCAGGGAGAAAGGGAGGGCCAGGGCGTTTCCTGTCCTTTATCTCAGATAAGTACAACATAGCTGTCACCACAAACTCATCTCCTACTCTGCCTTCGGGCATAGCCTGCAAGGACCATCCCAAGGCGAGACCAGTTTCTGTGGTCATGTTGGTCTCTAGTTTCTTCTCTGAAAGTGCAGATCAGAGGACCTTGGTGGAAAGGGAAAAGTATCAGTGAAACAGGCCTCAGACAACTGGACTGAGATCATCAAAATCACTTTGCATATGAGTCCGAGTTGGCATAAAACCCAGTCAGTCTAAAAAGCACTGATCAGGGAAACTCTGTTTATCTTAACTTATTCTCCCAAATAAATTTCAACAGCCAGCTAAACATTACTTATTGCATAAAGAATGTGATTAATAAAGCCATAAACACTCCTTTGACCGTAAACCTGCAGCAGCAGGACGCAACACGTGCACATGCGCACATCACCTGGCACAGCGGAGGCCGCACTACAAACACACCCAAAGCAACAATATAAAGCAGCAGCAAGTCAAACCATGCTTTGCATCTTCCCAGCAGCTCAAGAGAAAGGGACAAACAGACAAGATCACTAGCTGTTGTTCTCCGCTCTTCAGTACCTTGCTGTCTGATGTGCATCGCCACCCACAACCGGATCAGCTCAGGGATTTTTGCCTTGGCAATTTAGCAGCTTTGGACTACTGCTTTCATGAATAAATATTTTTCTCTCCAGGTGAATTTTCATGTGTTCATCTCAGACAAATTCAGCATGATCCAGTAAATGAGAAAAGCAGACCCAGCTGCTTGTTTGTTGTTTGTTTTTTGTTTTTTTAAAGTCAGTCATTGTCTGAACATTCTCTTTAAAAACATCAGCAAACAAAATCCATGAGTGTGATTCAAGGCATTTCAAGACAGGTGAGAGTTTCGGTTGAGTACTGGGCAGCTCCTTCATGAGAACAGGCAGAGCCAACACCTGCAAATTCATGACAACTGTGGTCCCGGACGGCGGGAACCAAAGGACCCAGAGAGCCACTGTGTTCAGCAGCAGTAACGTAAACCCTCTCTGAATTCAGCTGCTTTGGCATTAGAAGAATTTGCTATTTTTCCCTGCCACGCACCTAAAAGCAAATCAAGGTCAGTCTGAAACACTGTACAAACATCCTTTCTCTTCGTCTCTGCAGGATCACTTGACTTTTCACTAGAAAGCAATACCGATGCTGTGCCTTAGGAGCTGGGAGTTGTCAAAACACGCTGACCAAACACCCCCGTGCACTGCAGCCATGTTCGCCTCCTGGGCAAATGACATTATCACCTAATTATACCAAACAAATGGGAAGTATTAACATTTTTCTTAAATGGCTACATTAAAAAAAAAAATCGAAACGAATGGTAATTGCTTTTCTATCAGAGGAGATGGCAGGCGCTGTGCTGAGCCCACACCAGAGCTGCCCAGCTTTTGCAGTCCAGAAACCACCACTCTAAGAGCCCTGCCAGCAGGATGGCAGCCCTGCACCTCCTGGGGCCTTGGCAGGTTTTGCCAAGTGACTACGTGGAGAGGAGCGTGGCCAGGCAGGGAGAGCCCCACAGCACCCACAGAGATGAGGACAAGGACCAGACGGAGGAGGGGGACCCCTCCACACTCGGGCTGAGCTCCCTGCTTGCAGCCTCCCTGCACTCTGACACTTAGATGCTCTCACCAAAGAAGAGGTCTTTCCTCACCCCTCAGGTTACAGGAGGCTCAGATTTTAGAGAGCCCATAGTTTGGTGACACTTATTACTTAAAATGATTTGTGATTTATTAAAGAGAGGTTACCCTGGCATACATTAAAGCGACAGACCACCTGACCAGAGGGGAAAGATCTCCTGACTGCACCTGGTGCTGCTGAGTGCGGGCAGCTGCTTTGGCTTTCTTTCCCACATTACCTTCTGCCAGGATTTAGAAGCTGTTGGCCCTGGGCTCCTGAAATTCCCTCAGCTGCAGAAGGGCAGCACAAGGCCTAGACAGAGCTGAAGCCTCCCACCTTTATCCAATAGGTTTTTCTTTAGACTTATATACTAGCTTGTGTCACCTGCCACCTAAACGTTACACTGTAATGCTACTGCATGAGCAGAGCGCGAGATGGTCCTACTTACAGCCCTCCAAATTGATGGAATTGCAAAAAGGCCCCAGAAAGTGAAAAGCCACTGAGATACACTCAAGTCTTCTAGTTTAATGTCCATGATGAGGAAATCCAGCCTAAGACATCATTGAACATACCTCACTGCCACACACACATGTGCACATACACACACTCCCTCCAGGAGAAATCCAATGAATCACATAGAGCACAGCTAGAAGAAGTGGCAAGAGACATCTAAGCCTTACCCCAGCCCCGAGGCAAAAACAACTCTAAAAATTCATCCAGAAGGTGTTTGTCCTACTGGCTCTGAAAAGTTTCCAGCACTCCCACAGCCCCAGAATCAGACCACTCCTGAGCCTCCCAGAGTACATACTGCAGTACTCACCAGTCCTTACTTGAACACTGCTCGTTTCAGGGACACCATGAAGAGCCAGGTGACCACCAGGTTTCTCCTTTGCATCTCATTATAACTTCACATGACCCGTTCACAGCTGACCCTGCGCTTTCCTGACTTCAGTAGTGACCCCAAATTTACTTTACTGGATCTGGAGATAAGTCATACCCAGGACCCTTGTCACAGCCCCATCAGGAGCTAGAACATCACCACTCCCCATATTGTCTCCAGGCTGCCAAATTCCAGCATGTTCCTTGCTGTCACCAGGAGTGGGTTAAAATAGAAATGCAGACAGCCATCAGTCTGACAGGGAAACCTATTTAAGAAACTATCCTCTTTTGAGACAAAGCTCTGGTACTCACCTAAATGTCTTGCCAGATAAGCACTGGGCAGTCCTGCAGCAGGCCAGTCAATGTGACAAAGGGGCTGCAAAGCTCACGGAAAATAACATGACATCCAGCCAATTTCAATAGCCAGAGCAATAATTATTCTCAATGTACTGAGGACTGGCGTCACAGAAGAGGCAGAAACAGGGACAACAATAGGCTGGGAATAGCACAAAACTCTGAAGAGATAACGGCTCCTGCTCCTGAGCACCACGCAGGAGCGAGCAGCTTCATTTCAGCTCTCTTGGCTGCGTGCACTCTATTAAATAAAGAGCAGGGAGAGATGACACAGCACAGACTGCAAGGAAGACAGCTAGGAGGAGATGATTCAGTGCAGGCAACCTGTCTTTTGTACCAAGGAATAGTTACGGTATGAGGCCAGGAGCAGAACAGGATGCTGGTGGAGATCCCCAGAAATTTCATCTAGTGCCAGGATGGGGGTGTCAGACGCAGCCCAGATCTCCCCTGTGTGCTTTTTCCTGACAATCTTCCAGGTGCACGTCCATATTACAGCAATGCTTAGGTGCTCTCAGAGCTACTCCAGGCACAGGGATCCAAAAACCCAGCTTGGGGCAGGACAGGCCCATAGAAAGGAAAGCGTCAGGCCCTCATGGATCAGGTCTTCTTTTCCCAGCGTTAGCCGAGAGCGCACAACGCCTCACCTGCGCTGAGGGGCAGAGATGGAAAATTATGAGAGGTGCCAGGGAAGGGGCGTCAGAGATGCTGCGCACGAGGAGAGATGTAGGAGAGACGAAAAACCAGAAAGCAAGAGAAAAGGAGGGAAAACATTGTGACAGTCATCTTCATGTTGTTCTCACCTGCCCTGAAAGCTAGTTGTTATACACCCTCAAATGCTTGCAACCTTCTAAGAAGTTTCAGATGCGGGTGCAGCACCTAAACCTCAGCCTTAGTCGCTGCAATCGAAGTGAGCTGCCTTCGCTCTTAGAAGCATATAAATGTCTTAGTGGAATCAGCCTTTACACGGACAGATCAACATTAGCCTGGTGGGAGAGGCCCTATCCCTGTACACTCAGATGCCAACCTTTGTTGTAAAAAACGCATTCTTACTTCGGCAAAGACACAGCCAACAAGAAGCACGTGACATTCACGGGGCAGACTTTCCAGGAGGCTCAAAGTCCACATGAGCCACTGCTCAACACTCAGAAGGGGCCATAAATTCCTTCCTCTCTAGGGAGAGGGCTCACTTGTCTGCTACCCAATAGAGGGCAGATTTTCACAGGAGCCCAGCGCCCTGAAGCCCCCAATGAGACCCTCTTCGTGCAGTCTCCCGAGAGCTCAGCCCCCAACTGGCACTACCCTCCTCAAACCCTCACCAGTAATTCAGGTACCTGAACAGGACCAGGGTCTTCGGAGAAGTCTCGACACCTTTTCAAAGTCCTCAGGATGAGGAAACCTGAGCCTCCCACCCAAAATCTTCATGCTGCCCTGCCTGGGACCACACACGCAACCTTCTCCTCTCTGCTGCTGTCACCTGCAAAAAGGAATCATGTGGCCCAGCCTAACGCTGTTTCCTGGGGACATGTAGAATTAGATGTAGGTAGTCTCTCTCGAAGCTTAGACTATTATTTCATACTCCTAGCCCACAAGAGCTCACGTCTTACACCATCGCGGGTTTTCCAATGACTCCAACTTCCATTTAGGCAGAAAAAGCAAAACAAAACAAAACAAAACAAGAGAAAAAACAAATAGACAAACAGCAACCAAAAACCATAACCCCTCTGAGAACTGGGGACTCTAGTACTGCCTTTTTTTCTTCCTTGCTTGAACCCAGGCAGCTGAGGTTTTAAACAGAACATACATGAAATTTTAAATCTGGTATTTCTGACCTTGCAATGCACTGAATCAAGTTTCCTTTCCATAGTAACAGCTACCCAGAAAAATAACAACAACAAGTCACCAGTTCCTTGCCTTTCCGTGCAAACTACCCAGCTGGCAAGAGACGGTTCAGTTACAAGGAAAGAGCAGAAGGACTGCAGCCACAAAAGAGAACTGATTGTACCTTTACGCCAAGGCCAAGCAGCCGCGCTTGCGAGCGGTCCGTTCCACGTGTCCTCGGTTTCTGAGGGTCTCCAGTCCCAGACACGTACACACGTACGGACGGTGCGAATGTGAAGGCAGTGGGCTATGAACAATCTGACCTCCTCCCTGGCTCTACCCTTCCCCCACTACCGGCCCCTCGAGACCATTTTCAGCCTCCTCACGCCAAATGTAATTTCCTGACGCTGCTAACAGGAGGAAGGCAGAGAGGCCGTGGAAGGAAACATTTCATGGCTAACAGCAAAGCAACTGCAATCAGCGGATGCCAGCAGCAAGCTTTAGCATGCTACGGGACAGGAAGACAAGATGCTTCAATTTTTGGCACTCACTAGCACAGGGACGAAGAGCAAAGTACCCTTTTCCCGGCTGTGCTGAAGAGCCAGCGGAACAAGGTAGGATTTGTTCACGGTGCAATTTGTCTCGAGAGCGACAGAGTTACAATTTCATCCAGAGGAAAAATAACCCACCTGCTGCAGCGAACACCACCCCTTCCCCAGGCGCGCTGAGCATCGCCCGCCCCGGTCCCTGCGCGCTGTCGCTGCTCTCTGCGAGAGGAGAGAGTCTCTTTTGCAGGGGTCCAACACGCCAGGTCTCCTCCGAGCTCTTCAGTCTCACTGATTACGTTCATAAAGCTCTTGCTACGCTGTATTTAGGCCACACGCCTCCAGCGGGAACGCGCAGAGCTCGGGCCAGACTTTCGGCTGGGGTGCTCACAGCACGCAGCCGTTCCTGCCAGCGGCCGGGCTCCGAGGGCCGAGCTGGGAAAGAGGCTGCAAACGTTTGATTCGGGGGCTGCTGCAAAATCAGAAACGAAAGAAAAAAAAAAAAAAAAAAAAAAAACAAGGAGAAAGACCAAAAATAAACCACACACCCACACCAAAAAAGCCTCCTTGACCCACTTTTCTCTCTTTGCACAGAAACTCAGCTTCGTCTCAGACGGCACGCTACGAGCCTGGCCTCGCGCCCCCGGAAAGCACGCACGCATCCCAGCAACCTGCTGACCTCCAGGGAGAGGTTCTCCTTCCTCCGCCCGAAAGCCTTCCAGGAGCGCCTCGACCTTCCAGCTCCCCAGCAGCAGCGGCGAGCCCGGGCGACGCGCAGCTCTTTATCGCAGACGCTACGAGGAAGTCCAAGCGCTCAGCTCCTGCAGGAGCGGCTGCCTCCTCCTCCCCAGCTCATTCCTCGCGCGCATCCATCCCCCTCTCCTGCACGCTCTCGGGCTCCCTGGAGGTTGCAGCCCTTGTTAGGAGGAAAGCGAACCACAGACAGGAGCAGCCGGGGGCGGGAGGGAAGCGAGGGGCTTGTAGCACAGAAATAAAAATCAGCATAAACCCAGCAGCCCTAATCTTCGCTCTCCTCCAAGAGATGTAGGACGATTAGAGCGAGAGCATTCCCATCTGCCGCGGCGAGCGGCGTTTTCCGCGCTGCCCAGAGCCGGAGGGGTGTGCGCGCCGTGTACGCTGGATTATGAGACCCATGCTTAAGCCTTTTATGGCTCCCCACGCTCGCACGGGATGTTCTGCAACAGCGGCTTTCCCTCCCTCTGCTGCAAAGCCAAAACTACTAGAAAAGGGAGACAGACAGACAGAAATAGAGAAGTAGGAGCTGAAAAGCAGGAGCTGCGTCCGAGAGGACGCGGAGACCCTAAGGAAACGCGGCAGCCTCGCTGGGGGGCTCCG